TATATTCTATATTGAGCAGCTTTCTAAAAATGTTTATGTACGTACTATATGTGCTTTATTTTCTTTTTTATTATTATTTTGAGAAGTGAAAGAGTCCAACTAGAAAAACAAATATCTCAACTGAACAGCTACACAACAACCCACAATAGAATAAAATATAATTAAATTAGTTTAGGTTTTAAAAGTCATTACATACAGTTTATTTATTAAGACAAAACTATGTTTGAATAGATAATAGTGGGGTTTGGGTACAAACTCAAGTAAGAAAATGTTACATCATTGCTGTATTCTGCCCAAGCAAATGACCAATACTGCGAAAACATTCAACAGCTGAATACAGTGTTCTATTGACATGAATGAGTCAGATTCTTGCTCCGCTCGAAGGAAATGTGATGCAAAATCTTCTGCGTTTAAAAAATGTGTGTGTGTGCTTGAGTGAAGAGAGGATAGGCTAGTGAAAAATTATGTCTTTAGAAACAGAACACGGGATACGAGATCATTCCTGTGATGTGGACTGACAGGGAATTCCTGTATGTGATGGCGATGGAATCAGTGATGGAGTCATTACTGCACACACTGACCCGTGAAGGGTCTGCCAGCTCCTCCATCAGCCTGTGATTGCTTCCTGCTTCACTCGTGCACACAGACCCAACACTGGCCCATGCATTTATACCAGAGACAGAAATTAACCAGGGCTCGGCAAAAATACCACTGAAAGTGACAACAACAAAAAAACATCTAGATATTCTTTTCAAATGATCTGTAATATTTGAAATGTCATAATATCCTATCCTGTCATCATAACCTGTAGCAGTAAGATATAGAATCTGCATTTCATGTCATAAAAGAGTGTTCCTTTCAAAAAATACTGTACTGGGAATACCATGGTACTGAATGAAACATTTATATTTATACTTTAAGAAATAACATCCAAGCTAGCACAAGTATTAAAAAAAAAAAATGTAAAGAAAATGTATTTAACACATGTAAATAGTGCCTTAAAAATAATTATGAAATATGAATATATATATATATACACACACACACACAAATACATTCTTTATAGGCTTTTTTTAAGAACTGGAAAACATTTGAAAATCATTTTAAAAGTCTTTTTAACTAATTCATTTATTTATTAAAAAATGCATTTATTTAAAAAATATGCATAGACAAGAAATAGTTAATTAATGATGCACAGCCAAAGAAATAGTTAATTATTTTATTTTATTTTTTACAAAACAGACATGTGGAAATGGGGAAAAGTGCTTACAGGCTACCTGTCATAATAAATACAAGAATGTAGAGGCCTTGTCCCCCATTCAGAACACAAGAATGCATTTCTCAAATTTAAGTTACAATTTCAGACTTTTCCCCCGGTTTCAGACCTGTACACAGCTCCTATCTGTTAGTATACAACGTGTCTGCAGCAAGTATACAACACTCCCGCTCCCTGTCACAGCTGAGGCATATACGGCACACATGTACGAAGAAAACAATGAAACATAGACACTTTCGTCTCCCACATAAAGTCAGGACACTACTTAAATAAAAATACATTACATGTACATTTGCTTTACATGTAGTTATCTTTACATTTTACCCAAGTGCTCTTTTCAGTCTCAGTTTTCCTCTTCCTTTCTATCTTACGCACAAAATACTGTTGTTTGTCATTGATAATCCCTTCTTGATCCTTAATATTTCTTTACATTTTTTGTAGAAAATGTTCAGAGCACTGTTTTCGATTTGAAATAGTCTCACACTAAGATCAACGTCAATTGTAGTCTATGATTGCGGGTAAACTGCAATGACAACAGTAATTGAAATTAATTTTGGAAAATGATCAAATTGGGGAAGATATCAAAGATTTAGGCATCTTTTTAAACTATAGAAATGATTATTCAACATTTTACCTGAATCTAAAAGGAAACAATTTCACTTTTCTAAAACTATCTGCTTTCAAAACAGAATGTTGACAAACAATTGCAGAAACAATTTGCAGTTATTTTTACAATTAAATGATGGACTTTAAGTAAGTCCTTTATGTACGATTATTTTTAAAGTGAAATCTGTGGACAAATCAAGACTGCTGGCTTTTTAGGCCCACGAAAACACATATGCTTTGCATATGGGTGTTAGAACAAGAAAGCAAGGAATAGTGAACTGAACTGTGGCATAAATTCGTTTCAGTGGCTTAGTACAGATTTCAATCGTGGCGTATTTTGGCAAGGAAAAAGAGAGAGAAAATTTGTCTTACCACCTGGTTCTATGCCATTTATTTCCCATCCACATCTTTTGTGCTTTTGCCTTTTTCAATCTAAATGTTTAACACTGATGCTGGTAACTTTACATTCCTTTTGTTTGCATTCAGAGTCAGACAAGATTATCAGAAGAGAGGACGCACCAAGAGCGCTAGTCTTTTACAGTGTGTGCTCGAGTCTTTCCTTTTTGTCCAAAAGTCCAGATCCTGGTCTTGGTGACAAAGTCCTAAATCCACAGGTCACGTATGCGGTTTTCCTTAACCGAGAGTGACTAGATGCAGGTGAGTAAATCCTGTCCAATGAAACCAGAGAGGAAACAGTCTCTCTCTTTGCGAGTTCAGAGGCCAAGAGCAAGAGGGACCGTGCCCCTCTCCTTCAGCCAGATCCGACCTCTGGGGTCGGCGCTGGGGGACGGAGGTTTGGAGCAGGAGGTCAGGGTGAAGGGGTCAGGGGTCAGTGCGAGGCGGGGGCATTAGCGGCTTAGAGGGAGCTGCGGCAACGTCATGGCCTGATGAGGGAGGCTCTGTGTGGTGAGCATCGAGAACGGATGACCTGCGAAACCAAAACAAAATAAACACAACATAATATTAATCTCTAGCTATATTAATTCATCGCTACATATTTTTAGTCCAGAGTAAAAGCGCCACCAGTTTGGTTTGAAAAAAAATGTGTTTATCAGTACTGGGGACTACTTTATACACTAAGTTTGGAATAATTAAGGTTTTAAAAGAATGACATTTATTTGAACAAAGATACAGTGAAAGATTGTGAAATATTATTACAATTTAAAATAACGGCTTTCTATTTTAATATATTTTTAAAATGTTTTTTTTTTTCTGTGATTATAAAGCTGAATTTTCAGCATCACTCCAGTCTTCAGTGTCACATGATCCTTCAGAAATCATTCTAATATGCTGATTTGCTGCTCAAGAAACATTTCTGATTATTATCAATGTTGAAAACAGCTTAATATCTCTGTGGAAACAATGATTCCATTTTTTCAAGACTCTTTGATGAATCGAAAGTTCAAAAGAGCAATTTATTTGAAATAGAAATCTTTTGTAACATAAATGTCTTCACTGTCACTTTATATATATATATATATATATATTTTTTTTTTTTTCAAATGGTAGTGTATCACACTTTCCACGATAATATTAAGCAGCACAACTGATTTCAACATTGATTAAAAAAAAAGTTTCTTGAACATCAAATCAGCATATTAGAATGATTTCTGAAGGATCATGTTACACTGAAGACTGGAGTAATGATGCTGAAAATTTAGCTTTGCATCACAGGAATAACTTACGTTTTACAATATATTACAACAGACAACCGTTCTTTTAAATTGAAAAAAATATTTCACAATATTACTGTTTTACTCTATTTTTTATCAAATTAATGCAGCCTTGCAGAAGAGACTTCTTTCAAAACCATTAAAAAATCATAATTATTCTGAACTGTTGAACAGTAATTTATATTAAAGTAAATATTTTCGATATTATTATTACCGTTAATATATTAGATTAGAATATATTCAATTAGAATGAAAAGTGGCACTGAATTTAATGACAGCAGCTCTGAGGAAACACTCACTTTCGATGTAACCATGCAGGGCCACCATGCGTGCTCTCTCAGGACTGCCGAAAGGGGAGTAATGCAGCTCGTCGGGCAGCGAGGGGGGCATGCGGGCCTGCGGGTGAGCTTGAGGTGGGCCGCTGTGCTGGGGAGTGTGCTTTTTATGCCTCGCTCTGCAGTTTTGAAACCAAACCTATGAAAATACAACCAGCTGTCAAGACGAGCTCTCTTTTAATGCATTTGAATGGAATGGAAGTATTAAGGAAACATTAAGAGGTTTTTGTCACCTGTATGACTCGTCTACTCAGTCCTGTCATGTCTGCCAACTTCTGCAGGGTCTGAGCGTCAGGGTTGTTGTCCTGTGCAAACTGCGCCTGCATTACCTGTGCATGTGTCACCTTAACATTAGCTCATTTACTGAGGGGAAGTGCATATTTGTAAAGAATTCATACATTAAAAATAATCTAATATATTAGAAATCATATAAAAACTTAATTACAAATTATAATTATAAATGAAATTAAAATACTTTTTTTTAAATGGAACAGTTTATTGAAACTTTAGACAAAGAGCGTTTTTTTTTTTTTTTTGAGTATCATATTTGATATATCAGGCTTTTATGGCTCATAAAGTATGATGTATTGAGAATATGAAGCTCATACTTAAGGAGAAAAAAAAACTCAATTTTATTCAGAGGCCCAAACTGGACAAAAATATGCAATTTTGTGCAGTGTTGTTACAGTATGTATATGGCCAAAAAGTGAGATGAAATTCTCATATCTTGTAATATAAATCAATGATCTTTATAACAATATATCAGGCTACTTACATAAAATGCATATGGATATCAGTTTTCACTCTATATCGGCCAAATAATGTCTTTGTAAGATGATATTTAAATGCTTAGTTTGATGATCAAAGCTCTGTAGTTTCAAAACTTATAATGCAATGTAATACAATGATGATTGAGAGATGAACAAATAAACGTTCCTTAAAAGCCTGATGGATCATAATTGATACACACATATTAAAAAATGATACATGGATAATCAAGTAAACCTAAGTTGCTTCAGTCCGGTAAATGTTGATCTTGAAATACTAATATAAATTATCCTAATGTTTACTTTATAAAATCAGTATAGATTATATTTTAAAAATACATATATATTGAAATAATTAGTTTATAGTATTATATATTCTTTTGTTTCATATATACGGTAATATTATTAAACATATTTTACTTACAATATATTAAGTGAAAAATGTATATAATTAGTTTATAACATTATATATATATATATATATAATTAAAGTATTTTTAAAAATAGAGAGAATTTTCTGCAATAAATTAATCTGAAACTGCTTACTTTACATACTTAAAACTCTGGATCATTTCTTTTTTTTTAGTTGTGTTTAATGAGCTACTTTTTTTTTTTAATACAAGATTATCTATCTATCTATCTATCTATCTATCTATCTATGTATCTGTTTGATCATTTATTTATTTATTTATTTATTTATTCTACAATCTATTCACTGACTTTGCTACAAAATGTGCCATTCACCATTAGTCATCGATGTGATTTAATAAACGTTCCTTAAAAGCCTGATGGATCATAATTGATACACACATATTAAAAAATGATACATGGATAATCAAGTAAACCTAAGTTGCTTCAGTCCGGTAAATGTTGATCTTGAAATACTAATATAAATTATCCTAATGTTTACTTTATAAAATCAGTATAGATTTCAAAGCAAAAAGACATTTTTACAATTATACTAAAAGGCCTTTTACTTTTAAAAAAAAAAGTATAAACGATCCATCAGATGACTGAAAGCATGTAGTAGATTGTAAGCAACAAGTTTGGATCATGCTGATCATTTAGAGACCTTGTTTTAAATATGATACAGTAGGGGTTGGTTGCTTTCTGATAGTGCCATGTAAAAGGTAAAATGCTGTTCCATTTGTTTAAAACATTAAATGGAACTGAAATATGAATGTATACCAGACAAAAGCATAACCACAAAGAGGGCTTTGCTTCCTCATTGTGTTTGATCATCTTACCTGCAGCTGTTCTGCAGTGAAGGACGTTCGTGCCCTTTTGGACGGTTTTGGTTGACTGTCCTGTTCTGACGGCACCGCCCCCTCCAGAGTGAGTCCGCTTCCTGCGTAAAAACCCAGGGAAAGTGGTTAGAAACTCTTTTCAGATCAACGAGATTTAAAGCGAAATGCATCTGAAACACACGTACCGCTCTCAGCGGCCCGTTTCAGGTTCTCCACCATTGTGTCGTAATGGATCCGACAAAGTACTTTCTCCTCCACCAGCCCGAACTCCTCGCCTGTGGACAGCTGCCGTTTGCAGGAGAAACAGGCGAAGCAGGCCAGATGGTAGGCATTGCCTCTGGCTCGCCGTACCCAGTCACTGGCGTAGATCTGCCGGCCACAGCGGGCACACTTTGTACCAAACCTACTGTGAGACAGAGAAGGGCTTGGGCATCAATACTTATCCCATAAACAATAAAACATGTTACACATGTGCTTAGTATTATAACCCATAAGCTAGTGTAATGATAAAAGCATTTGTGCATTTTGCTTCTTGTTCTGAATTCAGTTTAACAGCGAAGCAGGTATTTTGTTTCTCCACGGAAAGCGCTCCATGGCAGAAGACAGAATACAGATAGGCTGAACCGTGTCCAAAAGATAACCGCTAAACGTGTCAGACACAGCTGTAAAACTCTCAGCACAAACAAACCACTAGTAATTCTATTTATTTATTTATTTATTCTACAATCTATTCACTGACTTTGCTACAAAATGTGCCATTCACCATTAGTCATCGATGTGATTTGTGAATGCGATTGGTTCTCTTTTTTGCATTTATTTGCATACTACGTTGTGATTCTGTTTTTTATCTGTTCAATTATATCTAATTATATAATACACTACAAAGTTGATGCAGAAATGGAGTTAAGATGCTGCATGTTATTGATGTTACTGCTGACATTACGTTAATCATCACATTCTCAGCCAAGTGTGATTTGTAAACCACATACGTATTCCATATTTACTTCAGCCCTGCATTTACAGCAGCCGTATGGCCGTGTAGTTGCACCTCTTCTGTTATCCTGCGATCAACAGGACTCTGTAAACAACCCTGCAGCGATACAAACCAACAGCGAGTACTGCTAAAATGAAGCGTTATTTTGACTGGACGGGGCTGACCGTGCCGGTTTTTTTTTCTTGACCCAGACATCACATTTGGGTGACCAAAGAGGTTTCCAGTGTTGAGAGGACTAGAAGAGACTAATGCTCTGCAGATGGCCAGGCACGGCCCTTTTTTGGCCTGAATCTGAGCCCCCCTCCACCACTAACAGGCGAAGCAGGCCAGATGGTAGGCATTGCCTCTGGCTCGCCGTACCCAGTCACTGGCGTAGATCTGCCGGCCACAGCGGGCACACTTTGTACCAAACCTACTGTGAGACAGAGAAGGGCTTGGGCATCAATACTTATCCCATAAACAATAAAACATGTTACACATGTGCTTAGTATTATAACCCATAAGCTAGTGTAATGATAAAAGCATTTGTGCATTTTGCTTCTTGTTCTGAATTCAGTTTAACAGCGAAGCAGGTATTTTGTTTCTCCACGGAAAGCGCTCCATGGCAGAAGACAGAATACAGATAGGCTGAACCGTGTCCAAAAGATAACCGCTAAACGTGTCAGACACAGCTGTAAAACTCTCAGCACAAACAAACCACTAGTAATTCTCTGAGCCGCAGGTCGACAGGAAATGTCTGCTGATAAACTGTGCTGATAGGATCCATAAACTAGATTTTATCCAACAAAGTGCTTATCGCATGTAAGATTTGTCTATTTTTAAACCACCTCCACTTTTTCTTTTGTGAAAAGGACTTCAGATATGATTAATACGCATATGTAAATGAATAAAGGCAGGGAGTTGATAAATTACCTTGTTTAATATATATGACATATAATATTAAACACTATATTTTAATAATTTATTGTGAATGCGATTGGTTCTCTTTTTTGCATTTATTTGCATACTACGTTGTGATTCTGTTTTTTATCTGTTCAATTATATCTAATTATATAATACACTACAAAGTTGATGCAGAAATGGAGTTAAGATGCTGCATGTTATTGATGTTACTGCTGACATTACGTTAATCATCACATTCTCAGCCAAGTGTGATTTGTAAACCACATACGTATTCCATATTTACTTCAGCCCTGCATTTACAGCAGCCGTATGGCCGTGTAGTTGCACCTCTTCTGTTATCCTGCGATCAACAGGACTCTGTAAACAACCCTGCAGCGATACAAACCAACAGCGAGTACTGCTAAAATGAAGCGTTATTTTGACTGGACGGGGCTGACCGTGCCGGTTTTTTTTTCTTGACCCAGACATCACATTTGGGTGACCAAAGAGGTTTCCAGTGTTGAGAGGACTAGAAGAGACTAATGCTCTGCAGATGGCCAGGCACGGCCCTTTTTTGGCCTGAATCTGAGCCCCCCTCCACCACTACACCTCTGTCATTGGGAGCCCTTGTGTAAACAAAGTGTCACACACAACCTCCTCCGACTGCAAAGAAACACGGGATATTGAGATAGCCATGTTTTCCCCGTATACGCTACTGAAGAATGATGACACCGGCCCCGAAAGTCCCGCAGTGGGGCCCTCGGGGCGTTCATCCACTGGAAATGACATCATAGCCCACCAGGGAGCCCCACGGGGCTCAACAAACCAGGAAACTTGGACCGGCACTTGTGTGTATGTATAATAATTTGTCTCTGCCAATTGTCACTTGAGCAGGATGAGCCAAGAAGTGAAAACAAACCTGAATCAAAAACCTTCAAAAATATTTACAGTCCACTTATGTGTAAAGTATCGACACATAAAACACGCCTCACGTATTAATGCCTGCAAAAAGCATTCAAAGGGCTTTCTGTGTACACTGCACACCATATTCTGACAGCATCGTTCCAGACAAAGAATACAACGTTTGAGTAATGATGCATTTCAGACGTGTGTTTAGAGGAGAAACATTGTGGAACGGAGCAGTAATCTGTCATGGCAGTTCATTTACCACAAAACCTTTCAGAAAAGCCATAAAGATCTTAAGGGGGTTTTGTTTTTGTTCAGATGTGCCGCACTTCTGATTGTGCGTTGTTGTGCTTATTCTGGATTTATTTCTGTCCTGCAGATCATAACTCGCCGGGAAAAATTCCTGCAAAGCATTTCCCTCAGCGCCGGAGAAATTCACCTTTGGCTGGAAAAGAGAAGCTTGTGGAAGTACAAATTCGGTAGATTAAATTTGATATACTCTCGGAGTATTATAATCTGGGGGAAATCTCCCTCTCAGAGACTGCTGAGACACATTAGCGGTGTTTGCTACGGCGAGCATCGCTTTTACTATTGCTCATGGCGATTTTTCAAAACCCTGAATCGTGAGTATTTAATTTTGGTATATAACTCGTCCCATTCCATTGCTTGTGCAACAGGCATAAATAATACCGCAAATCTTACAACTTTTTGAGGTGTGCTTTTCCATTCTTTAGCACTTGCATCGACAAAACCGCGTGGACGATAAATTGTCCGAGAAACATGGTAGACATATGTCAACCATATCTAGAAAGCATAATAGAGACTTATATCTATAAAAAAAATTGTCATCATTTACTCTTCTTCTTGCTATGAATTTTAAGATATTTTGAAGAATGGGTCTGACCTAACAGTTGCTGGTAGCCATTGACTTCCACAGTATTTTTTCATACTACGAAAGTCAATGGCTACCAGCGACTGTTTGGTTATCAACATTCTTCAAAATATCTACTTTTGTGTTCAATATTAAAAGAAATTCATGCAGGTCCCATTATCGCAGTTGAAAGTGCCTACTTCCATACTATATAGTATGCAAAAAACAGTACATGAAAAAAGTAGTACGTCCAAATTTATAGTATGCGATTTGTTTGCTTTTTTGCATTTATTTGCATACTACATTGTAGGGCTGCACGATTAATCGAAAATAAATCTCAAAGGCGATAAATCGCGATTAGGCAGAAGCTGCAATTGTCATGCGTATCTTTTCAGTGAAGCACGGTTCTGTGATCAGCAGTAAATCTCCATCCAAAGGCCAGAGGGCGCTCTCGCGCTGAAACTCCAAATACGCCCCGCAGAAGAAACCCAGGAAATGCCTATCGCTGCAGCTGAATAAACATAAGATTCAACTGCTTTCATTGATTCAACGTGACTAATAAACACACGACTACGACAATATATGGCTTATCTGAGTTCGTCTTATTATCATTTTTATTATAATAAAGTATATAATAATGCAATGCTAATCGACATAGCCTTTATCACTGCTTGGAATACTATGATATATAGAATACTTATTCTGTGCAAGAAGCCACATCATCTCACAGAAGGATTTATTTCAAACACTCGACTGACTTTATGAAGTGAGTTTGGAGTAAAAACATGTTATTAAATGTGGTATTTTCACGTACTTTCAGATGGAGCAGCATTTACTACACAGAGCCGTAGTTCACTGAGAAGCTACGCAAACAGCTTTCATTATTGCGAACGATTTCTTCAATTTCATAATCGCGCGATTATATCGTCTGCGATTATGAACGTGATTTTGCGTAGCTTGTCAGTGAACTATGGCTCTGTGTAGTAAATGCTGCTCCATCTGAAAGCAGGTGATGGAGATTTACTACTAATCACAGAACCGGCTTTACTGACAAGATGTGCATGACAATCGCATTCGATTAATCGTGCAGCCCTACTACATTGTGATTGATCCAAACCTATATGAATTTCTTTCTTCTGTTGAGCACAAAAGAAGATATTTAGAAGAATGTGTCTAAGCAAACAGTTGACTTCCACAGTATTTTTTTCATACTATGAAAGTCAATGGCTACCATCAACAGTTTGGCTATCAAGATTCTTCAAGATTTTGTGTTCAACAGAAGAAAGAAATTCATACAGGTCCCTTTAACCCATTCGAAAATTCCTACTTCCATACTATATATGCGAAAAACAGTAGTAGTACGTCCTAATTTATAGTATTCAAAAATAGGCGAAAAGTAACTGGATGACGTAGTACTTCCACCAAATTTCTGGATTGCGCATTTGATGACTCTTTACTATCCCATGAGGCCACAGGACAGGATTTGTCTACTAGACAGTATGCGATTTCGGACAACCTAACAACACCTTAGCACCCATCCACAGAAAAAAATATTATTCTCTTTATTTTCTATTCTCAAACATATACATATGTTGAAGCAATTGTTTCCTCTGTTAACCAGAAAAAAAAACATTTAATTTTGTCATCGTAATTTCAGTCACTCATATAATTTCCCGCATTCTCCAGCAAGTTATGAGTGACACAAGCTCTGTTTACTTCTGTTTGCATTTAAACACAAGAAGTCCTGTACGCGCATATGGCCATTACAGTACGTCATCTCCTCCAAATCTAGCGATCTCAGCTCCGCACAAACCCACTCGGGTTACCGCCTTACTCCATCACCCTGTCCTTATCCTTTGGTTCCTCTGATTAACAGCCTCCTCTGACTTCCTGTGTGGCCTGTCTAGCCCAGATGAGAGACCAACACAAATTAAACATATCTCCTTGTCCTCTATTGGTGTTGTGCAGCACCAGCAAAACAATCCAGCTGCCAGAGACAAACATGGCATTGCGTTCATAAGCTTGTGCCACAGGTTCACCAATCACAAGTCTACTTATTATGTCAATGGAAAAAGAAATCAAGTAATTGACATCTAAACTTGAAACCAGTTTATGGATAAATTTATGTCCAGTTGTATAAATATACACTCTTAAAAATGAAGGTTGCAAAATGGGTTTTTGCAGCAATGCCATAAAAGAACCATTTTTGGTTCCTCAAAGAACCTATCAGCGAACAGTTCTTAAAAGAAAAATTTTTCTCAATGTGAAGAACATTTAAAAAAATCTAAAGAAACTTTTTCCATTATAAAGAATCTTTTGTGGAACGGAAAGATTCCATGAATGTTAAAGGTTCTTTATGGAACCATCGATGCCAATAAAAAAACGTTATTGGCAAAAAGAGTGTGGAGATAAATGTACAAAATTTGTTTCAAGCAATTATGTCAAATGCTGCGTTCTGCTAACTACTAGCATATATATATATATAAAAAAGTGAAATCTGCTTATACTAAGAAACACTTCTATTTGCAGAAGACTTGACAAGAGAGATGTTTCAGTGCCACTGGAGAAAAACACATGTTCAGTGTGCTTCAGATCACTGAACTCGACTCCACAAGCATGGAGCTATTACGGTCTCTTTTTCAAAGCAAACGTGAGTCAATCAGTATTTCGCTTCCAGGGATGTTCCTGTGATTCCATGTCAAAAAATGTTAACCATATATCTGATTATGTTTCCTGATTATCTCGGATAATTAGGGGAAAAAACTTCAATCTGAGGCTGAATTTTATTATGCCAAAACCAACATAAACCCCCATGGTTGCTGTTTTGACATACAGAACTGCAGAGGAACAAAAAATACATGAACATTTTATATTAATAAAATAAAATGCTGCTTTAATTTTTTTCAATAAAATACCATTTTATATGTATACATAGCTATTTTAAACATCTGAAAAATTGGATACTGGAATTTGCATTTATTTTATATTTTTATTCATCTGAATTTAACTTTTTTATTTATTAATTTTCTACAAGCTACAAATCACATGAAAATCACACTTAAGGCTTTAAGGTCAGTTAGAAGAAATGTGAATATCGTTAGCATATTTAATGCCAATAAAATAATACACATTTGTAAAACCCTTGTCCTTTTTATTTAACTGCCATCAATAAGCATTTCTCAAAGTGTTTCCGTCATTTCAGATTTCTATTGTACTAAACCACAACTCGCCATCTTCCGAATATGGTTTCGTCCATAATAAAATCTATAACATAATCCCCTATAAAGTCTATTTTGTGTCGTTTTTTGCATTCCTTTCAGAGTTTCCTCTTGTAATCACTCGTGCATAAACAGCCTGAGAGATCCTGACGCCCTAGACTCAACACAACCAGTGAAGATCAAGGCATTGATGCACCATCTCATGGAGCATCTCTTCAGATTATTGGCCTTAACGTAGAACACAAACCCTCTCCTGCAACACAGCATTGACTTTAAAGGGGCCAGTCATTCACATTGACGAGCAATAAGCAGGGAAGGCTGGCCAATATCACACTGCCATTCACAGGCCTTGCTGAGTGCTCTGCAATCATGCCATATCGCAGCCCTTCTAGCCTCAATGCAATTTCACAGCTTCCCTGTCGGATCTCCCTCACTCCATGCCTTCCCATCAGCATATTACTGGGTCTTAACCAGAGCTTGATACTTCTGAGATTGAATTATGTAACTTGTGTTTGATTTCTAACACTATTCAGTCGCATACAAGGAAATACTGGCAAATTTAACTCCACTAATAATCAAGTACTATTTAGACCTCTCATTACTACTATTGACATCATCTCCTTTTGTGGACAGTCAAAGATTTTTTTCTTTTTTTTTGCATAATCCAAAGCACACAGCAAAAAAAAGAAAGAAAAGTGCTTCATGTGGTAACATCTAAATTGGTTAAAATATTTAAAATGACTGAAACACCAATTAAAGTATTATAAAATATTTACTTACAATAAGCTACAACTGTTATTTTGGTCTCCGATCAACTGTTTGTGTGTTTTACTATTATAATATAAAACGCAGTTCTAATGGAGCTTTAGAGAAGACAAGTGTAAGATTTTCTAACTGATGAATAAATTAGCTACAAATACGAAATGCTTCTAATAAATCGAATGTTATGAATATCACGTTGTACGATGTTGTTAATATTTTTAAATGGTTGTATAAGGCCTTTTTCAACGATTTTATCACTAGACAATTAACTAAATTACAAACTGCGTATTGCATAATTATATGTATTTGCTGTGGTAAGAATTAGAACGCTACTTTTTTTAAGAAATCGTATTTTTAGCATTAAACCCAAACGCAACACTCACGCGTCGCATTTTCAACCAAAAGTGAATAATTAAGCAGTATTTCGTTAATATGCACTCCTGATATTTCTGAGGACAGAAAGTGAAAACTTACCCTACCTGAAATAATCCACTTTGCAGAAGATTTCCTTATTTTTGATGTAGCAGCTGCTGTGTTGACGTAGTGACGTCCTGCAAACCGAACACTCCAGACACCTCACGTGCCAGATCAGATTATTAACCTGTAACAAACAGAACAGCCAATATGAAAATATAATAATAATAATAGTGGAAAATAATGAAGTTAGCATATTCTTTAAAAAGGCATTTCATAATATTCGTCGTGCATAGTATTGTAAAATGGAATGTCAACGTGCATTAAAATTAATAAGTCGAACCGCACACACGTGTTTTTATATGAACAGTTTCAAAATGACTGCCATATATAATCACATAAATATGACAGGCTACTAAATAAAATGTTTTGTTAATTAAAGGTGTGATTTAAAATTAGACTTCGATAAATATTTTGTGAATATTTCATTTGAATTGCGGTGTACAAAGGTGTTTAAATATAACTGTAGATGCATGCACATTACGTAGCCTATTTTGTTGAATTTGAAGCAAAACAAAAAAAGTGTAAGTTAATACTGTTTATTCAACATGCACCATATTCCGTCCAGAAATGTATAATTATTGATATTTCAAATTTGATTACTGAGATTTGGGATTATAAACATGTTCTCTGTGGAACATTTACGACACATGTAAGGTGCATCTTAGAAATACTTATTTAAACATTCTGTCGAAAAAATAAAAATAATAAGTGTGATTATATTCCCAGACTCTCGGATCCCAAGCGCTGAGGAAAAGGGAAATGCACAAAAAGGGGCCTAAGTTCGTTCATCCTGACTAAATTGTAATAAACTCACGCACTGTTTTATTAGTTTCCGCAAAAGAGCAAAACACTACAGTGTTTTCAGAGCTCGCGCTAATGATCCTCGCGCGCAACACACGCACTTCCTGAAAAAACAAGCAGGCCGAGAGCACAGCGATACTGTCAACATCTGCACTAAAAACGGCTAGTCATTTTTAGAAAGCAACATACAGACAACTTTTTTGTTGAAAAATCAACATCTATATCTGTAGATTTAAAAAATCGTAATAATTTGTATCCATCATGTTATGCTGAAATGTACTTTATTATATGATGTATGTGTAAAAATAACAGCAATTTCGAAATTAACCTCTTGTCCCGTTCACATTATTATAATGCTCCTCTGACCAAAACACATGCAGACATTACAGAAACCTGAACCCAATCTGTTATATCAAAGTTGGCATGCATTTTTCAGAAACATGACTGGTTAGTAACGTTTCTGCTTCTGATCGATTTGACCCCAGCAAAACAATAAAACAAAAAAGAGAAACATTGTAGAAAGTACAATTAAAAACAAAACCAACAAAATGCGTTGTTGTTTTTCTTTTTTTAACAGGCCTATTTACTCATTTAAAGGCTACATGAGGACTCTGAGACCCAAAACATACATATCCTCATGTAACATTTATTGAAGCGCTTCATCAATTTTGTTTAGAATCAGTTATCATACGATTAGGAAAATTACAAATGTTAATTATTTAGTCGATCACTTTAAGAAGCCTATATTTTTCGATCTATTAAATTGGCCGCGGTGTATCAGACCCCAAACATGAGAGTTAATACAAAATACTAATTAATATTAAACAATATAAAATCGTTTTAAAAGCAACAATCAGACAAAGCACAGCCTACTAAATCGTTCCAACTACGTAATTGTGTGCGCAAAAGCTTTGCGAGAGTCAGTCAAAAGCTCCACTCCAAACACTAATATTATATAACAAGAGTCAGTTCACTCGTCACACCAGATGACACACTCGCGCCCTCGCACCTTGAGCAGATATCTGTCCAGGATCTCGAGGCCGCAGCTCGCGCACACGTTCTTCCCGGTGGACGGCACGGAGGAGGCGCTGGAGATGGGCGAGCAGACGGACGGCGTCGAGGGCGGACTGGGCGAAGAGCGAGGGTCCTCTTTCTCCATATTAGACCTGTGAGATTCTCCGTCAGACTGTGACTGCGAGAGGAAAAAGCGCGATAAATATCACACTCTGGAAAGTATGAGGTTCAGAAGGTTGACAGGAATTTTCTGTTGTAAAAAAAAAAATCTAAACTGAACACTTAAACAGCAAGCAGTGATTTGCTGCACTTTTCCCGAACATTTCGAATTGAATTCGTGATGAAGAAAATCGAAACCTGAAATAGTCGCGTCAACTTAACTATAAATAATGAGGTTTTCTAAACATCTGGACATTTAGTGACATTTGTAACGCTAATCATATAAAAGCGGTTTACAAATCCAAGTTGAAATAATCCACAAAATTGCATTAGGTTACATCAGTAAAGAGTGTTATGTTATGTCTGACGGCGTTTTCTGCAAAAGTCAAACTCTCTGAGCTATAGCAGAGACGCGACGAAGGCGCATTATCGCTCCTCACCATCGCGCGACCGTGTTGTTCGTCCACGCAGCGCGATGCTCCCGGTGTGCTGTGCGAGTCTGGAGAGATCACCTACAACACAGTCAAGCCACAGTGCTCCATGTCAGGCATGGTCCCTGCTCTATATATGCGTCCAAAAACAATAAAAACGCTTTTAACTGTGCATTGAGAGCCTCGCAACAAAAAAGCCCCCGTTTTAATGAAGCGATTTAAATTTGGATTGATTTTTTTCCCCACACTTAACCCGTGCCTCTTCCCATAATCGTATTTCCACGCAATCCAGGGAGCTGAAAAAAAAAAAAAAACTACCTGCAATTACAAATAGCTTGAAATGCTCGCGATAAGAGGACCCCAGAGTGTCAATTTCAACTGCCAATCAGAGAAAGCAACGGGCCACCCAAAGAATTGCAAATTTGATTTTTAATGGCAGTAATTAAAATCTAATGTTTCTTCTGCAGACTTGGCATGTGAAGAGGATGGACCGCAAATCACACTATTCAGAACAGATCCTGATTCTCATGACATCACTTCAAGGTGAAGATGCTACAGGCTGCAGGAGATGATATATAGAGGACTTTCACATCGAGCAACATGTTGGCTGCTTCTCCAGTGAAACGAAGTTTTTCTTTCTATGCCGTTAAATGGATGATGATAATAATAATAAGCACGACTGCATTATAGTCCACACTTGAATAGGATACGATAAAAGTCTTACCTGTTTTGAAGGAATTCCTTCGGATAGAAACTGATTTCCCTCTGATAGAGGGGCCAGAGCCTCATTTTTCCAATACATTTGACGGCTTAACCTTCTCGTTCGATATCTTCAAATTGCTTCAAGCTTGTTCTCTTAAAGATTCGTTATCCCATGCGGTCAAAATCGGTCTAATATGAACCCAGTTCGCCGTTTCCTTCCGTACAGGCAATCAATAACGATCGGTAAACTAACAAAAACGTCTAAAGCAAGTTTCGTGATTGGTCAGTAAAGCGGCAGCAGACGCGCCGAGCGCGAGCGGTTCGTCGGGACGCCTTATTTAGAACCGTTTGCAGGATATTTCCTACTTTTTCCCTCTTTTGGGATGCAGTTGCTTGAGTACAGGAAGTGGAGAAAATTGAGGGGCTGGCAGGTTTTGCTCCTGCTCTCCTCATAGGCAGTCAGAGCACAGCCTACCTTCTGAAAGTTTACAGATCAGAGGGGAGGGAAGAGATGTGGCCTGAGTATGTATCGACATTTTGTGATGCATGATGTTTGGGTTTTAATTGTCTGACAAATTAGCGAATAAAAAATGATATTCGACATTCGAAAGTCAATATTTAGCCTATCAGGGCTGTTAGTGGTATCGAGCGTATGAGATTTAATAGCAAAAATAAGTTTTAATATGCAATTTCAAAGATTTGAAAGAATAGTTCCTATCACGTTTAATTCATAAATTATATGAAATAGGCCATGCTTGATCTTCCAGTTTGTAGAGCATAAAAAGGCTATAAAACAGAATTAACTTTCATTAAAAAAAAAAAAAACTGGCTCTTTTGAACAACAGAATGGTCAAATATTTCGGTTCTATTCGTTAATAGTTGGATTGGTAGGCTAATTGCAAGTTTTTGTAACAACAAAAAAAGACATTTCTTACCGAGGCCGTTTATAGCCGTGTAATGCAATGAAATGTCCAAACGCACGATTAATTGTTTTTATTTGTTAAGAAGTCCACTTGGATATAGGCCTATGTGTCGTATTCTATTATATTGCAATAATATATCGTTCATGTATATTTAAATGCCAAACTGTAGCCTATATAATTGATCATATTTTTATGCAGATGACTGTATCGCAAACTATATGCATTCACAATGTTATCTGTTTCTTGAATTGGTTTCAAATGGGCATGTGCGATAAAAATATATCCTTCACCAAGTCTGAAACCATCATGCTATTATTATGTCGGGGAGAAGCAGCGGAAAAACACATTTCCATCCGATAATATCCAGGTAGAGGGAGCGGCGTAGACCTTTTTTTATGCAACAGTTGCATTATGGAAAAGATCGTCTGGATATATTCATGTATATTGTTAGAATGGAGGGTTGCATGTGCATGTAAGAGATTATAAAGGAAAGAGTTTAGGTTCAATGGGAGCAGCGGTTATAAAACCCAACCATTACTCGCCTTTCATTTGAATTTGAACTTCTTGTTGTTCGGGGTTTGCAAATGAATACAAATAGAGGAATAATGTGACGTGACCTTGCAGAATTTAGTTACATCATATTAACCTACAGTATTTTACAGTATTATTTACAGTACAGTTGTTTTACCTCTAACGGTTACAAAAGTTTTATGTATTTTTTTATTTATTTATTTATGTATTATTTTGCCATAGGGGAAAAACATTTCAGCGAACAGTTCTTAAAATAACATTTTTCCCGGTCCGAAGAACATTTTTCTACTGTCAAGACCATTTCGTGCAAGGGAAAAGCTCCATGGATGTTAAAGGTTCTTCGTAGAACCATCGATGCAAATGAATAACCTTTATGTTTAAGTGTACACTTAAAAATAAAGGTGCTTCAAAAGGTTCTTCAAGCGATGCCATAGAAGAACCATGTTTGGTTCCACAAAGAACCATTCAGTTAAAGGTTATTTAAAGAACCATATCTTTCTTACCTTTTTATAATCTGAAGAACCTTCTTTCGCCACAAAGAACCTTTTGTGAAACAGAAAGGTTCTTCAGATGTTAAAGGTTCTTTATGGAACCATTTAGACAAAAAGGTTCTTCTATGGCATCGTGAAGCACCTTTATTTTTAGGCCTAATGCGGAAAATTGCCTCGTTAGTCGATGTGACTGATTTAGGCCTATTTTTATATCACAATAATCAGAAAAAGTAGTAGTGTCGAAAAATAAATGAACCCAGTAAATTAAAAACAAATAAACAGTAATAAATAAAATGAAATGGACAGGGGGTCAGATTCGCTATTGTTACGAAACCCCGCTAATTCGAATTTAACAACGAAACAGTTTTAATAAATAAGACAACAGATTATTTTAGGTTCCAACTGATATTGAAATAATTAGATTCTCCTTATGGCAAGAGACTCACTAGGCCTGTTCATAATTGAAAACGTTCGCAGTCTAATAAATAAACGTAGGCTATTAAGACAACGCTGCTATAAAAATGGTCACTACAGACACTATTATCGATCATTACAGGGAGTTCAAAGTAATGCAAAAAACAGCACAGCAGACCTTACTGTGATTTAAACACACAAACATGTCCATTTCAAATGAAAGCACAAGCAGCTTGGACACCTAGGACAGTTTCATTTATTTTTGAACAGGACAGGAGCAAAATCTATCAAAATACCTGGATATTTACACTTGATCTATACTGTTGATGACATCGGCTGTTGTGATGCCCCCTCTGCAGATCATGTGATAAAAGCCCTTTTCACTTTAGACTTAAAAAGGCAAGATATTAATAGTTAAATAAACAATGCATAATATTGTGCTTCCTTTACACATACAACAGTGTAACAAAGAATGGTAAAGTCTGAGTAGTATGTAGATTTAGGATCATAAGACTCGCAACACACAACAACACTTTCGCAAGCAGCACACTGGGCAGTTTACAATAAAAAAACAACGCGAGATATATTCTGGAAGGATTTCAAGAAAGGGATGTAAACTGAGATTTTGAAAAGATGCAAAACTCATGAAAGGATAGTGAAATTTCGATCATGATTTATGTGCCTCCATGGTTTTCCAAACCTGTACAACTGTTGTTTCTTCTGTGGAGCACAAAAGAAGATACTTTAGGGTTCAAACAACATTGACTTGACCAAAAAAGACGTTTATCAAAACCCTCTTACTGGTTTGGAACGACAAAGGGGAGTAAATGATGACAGAATAGTCATCTTTCGACTGAACTATCCCTTTAAACCCCGAAGAACTGAAATTACTTGGGTAACATCAATGTTCAAAATAGGACAAATGAACTCACTAGAATTTTGTGGTTAGATTCTGCTTACATCAGCTGTCTTTCACAGTAAAAAGACTCCTCCACTGGCCGAGAAACAGAACAGCACTACAAATCAAAGGTGTTGGACTTTCACTGTTTGTCTCTCACTGGCCAAGAGACAAGAGCAGCTTAGCTTATCTCCACACATCTCACAGTCCCTTCAGTGCAGAGACACTTGGACAGTTGTTGGAGAGGTCATCTCCTGAATTTGCGGAACGGCTTGTAGTAAGGCTGGGACCTCTTGTCTCTTTTATCGGGGGGTTTGTTGTAGATGTACGCAGATGGGCCGGAATAGTCATCTGGGTTTTCTTCCATCATCTGCAGCTTGGCTTCGATGGCACGAATCTTTGCATTAACACTTTAAACAGCAGAGGAAAGAGAATCGAGAGAAAAGAAAAGAGCATTAACCTTCTTATCCAGTCCAAATGGGTCACTTTCATCAATGTGAGCTCAGGGCCATTTGGAAAAGTAAAGGTTGAGAACGAAAACAAAAACAGGAGGGAAAGTGAACAGGAGAAATTCGAAACGTGGAAGAAAATTAAAGGCAACAGAGATTTTGAGTGGTAATGTCTCAAACCCTAGTGCAGTTGGCAGCTCCTCGGCTTCACTGGATGAAGGCTCTAAACTGGCCGGCATATTTTTGTCTCCTCTGAAGGGTTCAAACTTCTGAAAGACAACAAACACACACCAGGATGGATACAAGACTACATGCACTGAGGGGTTGTGTTAAGGGTTGTATAACTTGCTGCCACCACTTAGTAACTTAAACTAATTTGGTTGCTTTAGAGACCAGAATAAAACAAGAGCTGGCTGCTTATTAGTTATATGCTCCCTTGGAATAGTGTGGGAAAAGTTGGGCTATGCAACATCATAAATATTCATTCCACTCAAAAACGTCCATCCAACAACCCTTGCGACCATGAGGATGATGATGATAGCTCTTGGGAATCTGTGGGGAATAAAAACAAAGAGATTTGATGAGAGACTAGATTGTAAATTATTTACAACATGTATTTAGGAATTACAGATATTTCTTCAACCCTTGGATTCTAATGTATCGAAACACAATTAAAGACACTATGAAGCTGCTTTCACAATGCATTTAACTTCCATAATGAGACATTTATTGAGTTAAACTGAATATTAGGTGTCAAATAGTGCGGGCTGGGACTTGTCTCTTTTTAGGATGGGTAATTTTATCTGCTTGGATCGATTTTGTTTGAATAATAAAGAGTTTGCCAATGTTAAGAAGAGCTTGTTGTTCCAAATTCCTAAACTGAAGTAAGCTTTGGCATGTAACTACTGAACATACGCAAATTATACTTTAAATCATTCATTATGAGAGTTGCTCTTACTTTTCAAAACAATCAGACCTGGTGGATGATAAAACAGGTGAAAAAAAAAATCCAATTTCCAAAATATCATAGAGATATAGTGGCACCCTCCTCTGAAAGCAGGAAAGCCCCATAATATAACCATCTGATTATAATTCATTCATTTAGCTTATGCAAAAACAGGAGGCTGCAGTATTTGCGGTTGAATGTCACTGAAAAACTAAACAGTAATTTTCTGTACTTTATTTCAGCATTATATTTTCTCAGATAATTTTTTATTGACAACAATAATTTTTAGTGACAACAAAATGATGAAAATAACATTTGAATAGCATTCAGTTTAAATTTTTTGTTAAATAATGAAAATAATTAACATGGGTGATTGATTTTGTCAGTTATTTTTTATAGTTAATTAAAAAAAAAAAGATATGCAAAATCTAAAAATAAATTAC